TCTTTATTTGCATTCATTTGAATAGGAATTCTTTATTGCAAAGATTTTGTTTGTTTGTTTGTTTTTCTTTTCTGTCCAGAGAAAAAACACACATTGCTTTATAGCCTAAGAATTCCCTCCAGCTTCGACTGGAGTTGGGAAAGCTGAGAAGCAAAAAAAAAAAATAATAAAATATATCTGGTCAGTTAGCCATCAATTCCCACTACACTCATTCCTTTGTTAGCTCAGGTCTTCAGGCAATACAATCAAAGGAAAGGGGAAAAAGCATAGTCTTGTTTGCTCTAAACAGTTTGACTATATGAATAGAAATGTTCACTTTGGCCATACTAATGGCCAAATGGAGCTTTGATTGCACAAGAATAGTCTCATGTCAAAGGCAGAGTTCCCTAATTCTGCTGCATACGCTCTCAGGTAGCATTTAGTGAGCAATGAGATGCAGAAGGTGCAGCAGGTCACTAAACTCCAATAGATGCTGCTTGAGACTCCCAACACAACAAATGTGAATTTGGGGAAAACTCCAATTCAGTAATAGTCACCTAGGAGATCCTAAATGAAGATGAGATATAAGAAATTCTTTTAAGTCACCTGGGCAACATATGGATATTAAGTTAAATATAAAGGCAGAAAGGACTTTCTGTATTCCCTGAGGAATATTTAACCCACAAAGACAAAACAAATATTTAGAATTTCATAACGTAAAACTTAACATTAAATTATGATATCAGTCACATATGTGTAATTTGTACATGATAGTATAGCTGTACATATTACTACAGTTAGATATGCACGTTACTCTTGGGTTCAAGAAACTTTTCTTTGACTTTTGTGGATATTTGTTTTTTCAGATCATTCCCTTCAGTTTGAGCTAAATCTCACAGACTTATCGTAAGAACACTTTGGCTTATCAGTAGTCTGATATTTGTCATAGTAGACATTTATCTGTGACATTTATGGCCAACTAGACATCCATGAAAGCAGTGATAGGTGTCCAGATCTTTTTATACTTTTGGGAGAAAGAGACTGTGTAAACTTGGCCACTCTTGTCATGCTGTTTTAGGAAGTGCAAAAAAAGGAAAAGTGTATGCCATACTTTAATAATGAATGTAATTACTACTATTTTTTCTAAAACTGCTATTTAACGTGAATGTCTTCTGCTAGTACATACCAGTATGTTCTTTAGTGCTTGTTAACATGTAGTAGAAAGACAGATTGCACTTTTTTTTTTCTGTGTAGTTTATATTAACAGAATTTTAGTATCTCCCTGCTAGAAAGCATTTTAAAAGGTGGCTGTCATTGTATATGACAGAAAGATGAAGCTACTCAGCTATGTTACTTGGAATACCCTCTACCAGGGCTTCGAACACACCCTGAAGCTTCTACCTCTGGCTCTGCTGCCTTCTTTGAGGAAACAGCCTGTTTATTTTGCATCTATTCATATGAATGTATGTATTTCTTTCAGTTACTAGAGTTATTTTAGGATTTAAAAACTGTATTTTTTTGCTTTTTCTTACTCAGGGGGTGCTGATGGAGAGCTAATAGCCAGACTCTGCGGCCAGGCCGCACCATCGGTGCCACTGGCAATAGCTGCCCCCTGGATCTGGGTGCGCTTTGTAAGTGATGAAACCACAGAAGATAAAGGATTTTCAGCCCATTACACTTTTGAAGGTAAATGATATAACTGACTCGGTGGCTGTGGCAGTTTTGGGGAATGTTGCCATTAATCTGGTGATGCTGAGAATTTTTACTACAGGATCAGCTCCCAAAAAGTCCTCAAAAATTACACAGACCCATTGCTATTTATATCCATCTCAGGCAAACATGTGCTAGCAATTGAAAACTCAGATTTATTTTGTGCTTCACTGTTCCCATTCTCTGAACTGCATTTGAGTTCTTGCAATGCAGTGCAACACTCAGAACAGCTGGTTTCTCTTGGGAATAGGAACATAACAGGTAACATGAGCCAAGTTTGAGTTACTTCAAATAGGCTTCCAGAATGCCAGCACGGCCGAGACACATTCTCCTGCTTGAACCTTTGCACTCATTTTGAAACCCACTCAAAGCTGTATCAGTGCAAATTACACCACTTTGCCATTTACGGGCCAGCACAACTGTTCTTCCTGTCACAGCTGAATTTAGCCTTGCTGCTTATCTAGACACATCATCAACTTTTTGACTTGGTTGTGTTGCTCTAGGAACAGCTCTGGTTTGGTTAGGTGTCCGAGATAAGTAAATGGAAGATAAGGTAGAAGAGACAGCTCTAAGGGTCAACTGGCAAAGGTTTTGCAAAGCTGTGTTAAGTGCCAAAATAAAAACAAACTAACTTCAAGGTCACTGAATCTGCTTACTTACTATTCTATGAAAAATATTAAAAATTTTGGATTTTCCCAAGTGAATTGGGATATACCTATATAAGTCCTATTTACTTATATAAGTCCTATTTGAATGTGTTTTAGTACTGTTTCAAGTTCAATAATATTCCAGTCAATTGCTTACTGAGTTCAGTTTTAAAATGTAAGGAATTGTTATCTTTTTTTTCCTCCAGCTTGTGGTGGTATACAGTCAGGTGAAGGTGGAGTTATCTCAAGTCCTAACTACCCAGAGCCTTATAGCAACTTGAATCGCTGCTCCTGGCTGCTGGAAGCTCCTGAAGGTGAAACCATCACTGTGAGTAACACAATGCTGAAGAGCCTTATGAATACAGCTGGTTGTGAATAACATCCCCTGAGTCTGGAGGAAAAGGTTTTAAAGAATTTAGAAAATGGAAAATGTGAAGAAATGTTATATTTCACCATCAGTCTTACATAGGAAATGGGAAATCAAAGAAAACCAACCTGGACTGTGCATTTTTAAAAGACAGAAACATTCTAATGAAACTCAATCCTAGGATTTTTCCGAGATCCTAAGCCTGATTTTTGCTTTAAAGCAATGTCTCTCTATGTGTATGGAGCTGAAATAGCTTATGTTGTTAAAAGTTCATGGAGAAGTGTTCACTCATGAGAATACATCAGCACTGAAAGTGTTTACTCACCTATGGAAAGGAAAAGTTACAAGCTATTATCAAATTATTTCATGTCTTCATGATTAATCTGGATTTGAATATAGTTGTTTTATACTAATTACATGAGAGGGTGCTCACTCACCGAGTTCTCTGACTGATCCTTTGGAGAACAGGCCCAGTCCCTTTGGAAAACTTTTGAGGCCCTGTCAGTGACTTGGCAGGTCTAGATCAGGAAAAACACTCAGAAAGCAATTTTGTAAACCATACTGCGTCGTTTCAAATTTAGAGTTTTTCATTAATTTCCATATCATATTTTTCTTGCTTACAACTACAGAGATGCCTCTTATAAATGCCAGCCCGTGGTCCTAACTACTCTGCTGCGTGGTATTTTGATCACTACCTGGGTACTTGCTCATTTTCAGAGAATACAAAAAGATCTCAGTACAACACAGAATCTGTATTTATTCCACATATTTATTTATACCATAACTAATCTTAATCATATGTAAGTAAAATCTTTTTTTCTAAGAAGATTGAGCAGTAGCACGCTCAGTGAAGGCAGACTAACCTTTTCCATTATAAGCTGCCAGTTTCAGTTGCTGGTAGAGTTCCAGCGTCAACCATTTGAGCTAAATTTGTCTGTATTTGCTCTTTGCCTTGGGCAGCGCTCTTTTGGGGATGAATAAATACAAAAGTTACAGGGAGAAGTACCATATATTTGCTAAACTTTTTCACAAAAGTTCCAATTCTGGTAACTAGCAATAATACCTTATTGAATTAAAGTCATTAGCGTACATCAATACTGCAGCATCAGCAAATCCAGGAGCCTACTTGATCAGCAGATCTAAATCTTTGACCTGGAAATCCCACCAGTGTGCATCAGTCCAAGGACAAATAGGTTCATTGTGGGGGGCAGCGAGTGGCAGTAGCTGCCTGCCCAGCACAGCCTACTGAAATGATCTCTCCAGACCTGCAGAAACCAAACATGCAGCTTTTTTCTTTCAGGTTGAAGGGAAAACAACATTATTTTCAGCAAACCTTAAATATTCTGATTCGAAATGGGAGGAGAAATAAATCCCAGGCTTTCTGCTTTAGCAGTGTTCATATGTGAATGTGCAACTTAATATTTTAAGACCTTAAGATTTCAAGGCCTTGAGATCAGGGAAGTTGTTCAAAACCAGTGCACACCCCAGACATTTCTGAATTGCATGCTTAACTTTAAGCATACCGTTAATTCCCATCAATACCAATTTTGAACCTCTATGTTCATCTTCTATCTCTCTCTCCATGCTAAGTAGCTGCAGTTACTTCTAACAGCGAGATTTAGAGTGGCATTTATAGGAAAGCATGAAGGTCAGGCAGCTGAGCACTGTGTTGGGATGGCTATGGGATGTGGCTGGAATTGCCCTGACCCCTCTGCCAGTGGTGTTAAATCCTGCATGTTGCTTTTGTGTGTTACAGCTCACTTTTACAGCCTTCCACCTTGAAAGTCACTCACTCTGTAAGTGGGACTCGCTTACTATCCTGAACGGTGGCTCTCCTGGATCTCCTGTCATAGGACAATATTGTGGAAGTCGGTCACCTGGGACCATTCAGTCTGGTTCTAACAAACTAGTTGTGATCTTTAACTCTGACCATTCAGTACAAGGAGGTGGCTTTTATGCAACGTGGGCAGCAGAATCTCTAGGTAAGAGAAAAATAATTGTCTTTCTTTTCTTTAGTCTAGCATGGCAGCCTATTGGTAGCCTAGTTCATCATGTCTATTTAGCACTTTTCAGACACAATGTGAAAGAGGTCTCCTTCTCTTTTAGTAAGTTTTCATTTCAGAAAAAAAAAATACCTGTTAAGATCTTCAGCATCCCTCAGAGGAGCCAGGGCTAAGATAGTCAAGAGTTAAGCCAGTGTCGTCTGACCTTACATGATGAAATCAAATTTGGATATATATTTACTTTTTAAGCCTCCTGCAGATAGATTCCTGATGTCTGTAAAATGATATCATGTTCATTATGCTCCCGGCAGTTTCTCAGAGGCTATGAGACATTTCATTTCTCAAATAATGTTTGTTTCACAATTTGATTTGTTTAAATACCTAAAACTAGAAAGAAGTCAGGTTCAAAACAGAGGAACCGGTAGAACTTTTCTAAGAATGTGTTTGACTCAACAGCCTTAAAACCCTTCCACTTCAATGGAGATGTTCTTACCCTTTCAAAGGTGGAATACTTACAAGATTGCAGAGGTGAATTTTAAGGAGTTACCTCCTCCCTTCTGTTGAAATTATCATCTCTTGTGTGAGAAAAGTAAGGTAACTGACAGGTGCAATCCTTCTGGCTGACACAGATTGAATTTCTATTAGTTACCTACCTAATAGTTTTGACATGGCCTGTTGTGCCTCCCTTGAAGGGTGGTAACTGCCCATATACAGTGTCCTTATAAAATATCAATAGTTGGGCTTGTGTGAATGTATACTGGCATGTCCATGTCATCTAATCTGGTTCTGACACTTTTTCCTCTTGTCACTAGGGTTTTGTACATAAAATCCTTCATTGGTGTAGTGGGCATTAGCACACATATGCGGTGTGTGCAGTAGGTATCTGCTTTGTGAAAGGCCATTTCTCGTTTTAAACACTTGGCTTTGTTTCCCTTGCTCTCTTACATCAATATTTGTCCAATGAGAATCTATTGCTTTATACTTTTGTGTGTGCAAGAAAACTAGGTCTCACATCCTTCTAAACAGAATTGCTATTATCTTAAATAGAAAAATGAAAAAAAATCTTCATTTTAAAGCTTATATATTCCATTGAAGAGAAAACAAGTAGAAGTTACTCTTTACTCTTACTGTACTCTTTTAAAATCTTCATTTTAAAGCTTATATATATATATGTTCCATTGAAGAGAAAAAAGTAAACGTTACTCTTTACTCTTACTGTACTCTTTATTCTTACATCATCTCTGAAGTAATACCAGATTGTTAGTGCTTTATGCATAGCCCTAGTAAATTATTTTTGGCAGAGTATTTGCGAGTATGTTTCAACTTCTCTGAACTATGTATAGGAACACGAGCTGAAATAGAGCCATGACTAGCTATTCCTCTTTACAAATTAATCTGTTAACAATATTTTAAAGGCATCCATTTAGCTGTCTCCATAATGCAGTTCACAGGGTTGCCTGGGCTGGAGGGGAAATCATCATTCTGCCTGGGGTCAACAGATGTAGCCTGAGTAGATTCACATGTGGAACTGCAATATTCGCCTGTTGTAAAGTGAGATAAACTGGGATACAGCAATTGACTGAGGTTTTGTCCCCTGGGCATTTCCCTGAGTGGCTGTCAGCCACAAAGTGCCTGCCATGATGCATGGGAGGGAACCTGCACAGTGTGGGAGAAGCTCCTCGTTGGGGTGTTTCTAGCCTTCATTCTCTGTGTGAGCAGAAGTCACTCCTGACTGTCAGGAGCATGCAGGACCAGGGCAAAACTGGCATGCACAAGGAACTTGTGAGGAAGAGAAAGCAAAGCACCAAGAGGACCTCCTCTGCACTGTAGCTCTTCGCTGCAGGGGTGGGAGAATGAAAAAACAGCAACGGGGTAGGGGGGGAATGATGGCTCAGCAGGTGCCAGGGCACTCTTGTTCTTGCAGCCACAGCAGCCATTCAAAGCTGAGCGGTGTGGGAGCACCAGCAGGAGATACTTGGAGCATCTCTCACATGTCTCTACTCTCTCTAGGTTGTGGTGGAATCCTTCATTCAGATAATGGTGTGATCAAGTCTCCTCATTGGCCTCAGAACTTTCCCACGAACACGAGATGCACGTGGACCATCATTACGCATGAAAGCAAACACTTGGAGATGAACTTTCACAGCAACTTCCACATCCCAGATAGCAGTGGGAGCTGCCAGAGCAGTTACGTGAAGGTAAAACAGATGTTGGTGTGAGATCAGCAGAGCAATGTTTAATCAGCCATGATTCCAGAATCTTCTTTTTCAATCATGGTTATGTCTGTTAAGACTCAAAATCCAGGAAATATAAACTAAAGTCCATGTACAGTGCAGTCTGTTTTTCATGTGCTTCCAGAATTGGCTTGTATATATTATTAATTTTTGGCAGCACATTCATGATGTCTCAAAAATGAGCAATATGAAAAAAGTACCATACAGCTTCAGAACCAGGAAACAATGAGAAATATGCTGTAATGAAAAGGCCTTTTCAATTATGCTGATGAATAAAAATATATGAGTGTGACACTATAATTCTGCAAAACTTCATTATAAATGTGTATAAGCTGTTCAAATTGTCCTAATCCCTCTGTTTTTTATCTCAAAGAACAAAGATAGCTTTCTTATTCTTCATAGGTTGTCAAGAGCCACTTGTTTTCAAGGCAGTTGAACAGAGTGGACATGCTTTGAATTTTTCAGTGTAATTTATTTTTCTCAGGCATTTGGCAAATGTTCAGTGGTTTTGTGTTCATTTTCTCCATAGCAGTACAACTCCCACATGCAATAAGGGGCTAACATAATTCTCAACATGTAGGAAAACTTGAACAGCTGTGCATCTGATCTATGCCTAGCAGCTTACAAACCTTAAGAGCACTCGTGTTTGCAGGTAGTGAAAAAAATAATTATCAAATTTGTATTTTCAAAGGCTGCTTCTCTGATTAATTACTCTAATATGTTGCAATAATGTTCCACTAGTACAGAACAAGTCTTACCGCTACCCAATAAAGGTGCTTTAAATTCAGATTTCTAATCTGTCCTGAATGTTGTGTGCACAGCTGGTTTTAAACGGACAAAACAGTCAATTGAGATGCAGTCCTTAGAGAAAAACCTGAATTATTGATGTTGTCTAGCTCCATTTTTGAATGTTCAGTTTTAAATGTGTGAAGGTCTCTGGATATGAGAAATTGCTGAGCAGGTGTAAGTTTCTCCTATGTATTCTTAGGTAAGCAGCCAAAAAAAAAGAGGAATCCAAAATCAATAGTGACTTTGCAAAATCTTGGCCAGGCTGTGGATTCTTTATATTAATCCTTTGAGCATATACTGCCCCAAACACCTGGCTAGATGAATGAGCATATGTATATACTTACAGCATAACCTTTGGCTAACCTTTGTTTGGGAGGGTTTCTTAGAGCAATCACAGTTTTCTGTGATTTTGTTCTAGTTCCACTCAGATTTCTTTAAAATATATTACTTTTTAAATTAAATATTATTTGTTTCTTAGGTATTTTTGATATAAGGGACCAGGAAAAAAATATGTTTAAACACACTGATGCAGAGTAAATGTATTATTATGGTAAATCCCTTTTTTACTTTTTTCTAAAATGAAAGTTTTAAGTCCTTGGCAATAAACATCCTGATTCTGGAAATGATTTACTCATGCAGGAACATCACACATTCATGCATATGTTTCGTTTTATGTGTGCTGAAATTCGGTGCTTAAAGTGTGAGCCTGAAGTACATGAAATAGTTACTTGAATGAGTTTTCACTTAAATACCTACTTTAAGTTAAACCTGAATGTGGCTCATGAATGTGTAGCTTGCTTGACTGTAAATTGGCTATTAGTACAGCTGAAATAATATAAAAAATACTGTATTTTTTCTTTTTGTGTGTGTGTGAAAAACTATTTTTAACTCCATATATCATTTGATATTTGTTATTAAACAAGTGAATGCAACCCAATAACTGGAATTTTTGATTAGCAAGACTAGATATTAAGAATTCAGACATTCCAATCTGGAGCTTTATATTACCCTAGCACACTGGCTTGGGTTTTTATGGGCATTATGAATAGCATGATGATTGCATTTAATATTTCACTGTATACATATGTATTCATATGAAGAGAGTGTATGGAGATAAGTTATCAAAATGGAGGTAGGCAATGATGAATATAAAATGTTTCTCTCCATCTCCCTGGACCTCATCTACTTTGACCCTGCTTGCAGCAGGGTTGAACAAGATGACCCCAAGTGCCTTTAAGAGGCCCCTAGCCACTAACCTTACCCTGAGACTCACTCCTTGGAGCTGTCTCCACTGGCTCCAAAGGGAGCAGATTCTATAGCTCCAATGTATCCACATGTCTTAGGTTTCAGTGTGAGATGAATCCCACTCTGCCTTGATAGGAAGAAGGATTAATTGCATGTGTAATTTCTGGTAATGTGTTCCCACAAACTGTAGCCTTTGAAAGCACTGAGCCATTTCCAATCTGGTCTTGTCAGGTGTGGAGAGGAAATGGTGATGAAGAAGCAGCTTTGCTAACCAGAGGATGTGGAAGTTCAGCTCCTGACCCTGTTGTTGCTCCAGACAATGTGATAACGACAGTATTTCAGTCTCAGGATGCCCCTGGGCAAGGTTTCTCTGCATCTTTCATAAGCAGTAAGTGACCTTAAAGCCAGTTGGCTGTTCTAGTAGTCCATTTTAGATTAGCTTTATTTGTCTGCGTAACTCAGTCCAGCAAAAGCATTGAAGCCTCTGCCCAGCTTTTGAACACAAGAGTTCCCTTCCTGAATGCAACGGAGTTGCTGTTGTGCACCAGCCTTGGGACTTGCCAGAACCTCTTGTAACTACAACTTTTTAAGCTGTTTTTAGCCCCCTCTGACTTTTTGAACAGGCTTTAAGAGTTTGTTTCTCTTCAGTTGAACTGTTTGTAAACTAAAGCTATAACCTGAATGAAAAAGGGAAAAGAATCTGTTCATTTGGCAATTTTTAACCTATTCTTTCTTTCGAAGTCCATGCTGAAATTGTAGTTCCTCCTGTGTATGGGACAGCCTATGTCCTTCACATAAACTGTTCTCGGGAGGAGAAATGACTCCTTGACATCTCGTCTGGCTATTGCTTTGCTTTGTTGCTGTAGTTGCATTTTATGTAGCTCAAGAGGAATTCTTGGGATGGCCTCTCCATTTCCTTCACGATGGCATGTGCTCTGTGAGGGCCAAGTCCACTGGAAGAACGGGAGACGTGTTCAATTTTGAGGGGGGTCTTTTTGCAGGTTGCTGCCAAAGCAAGCCGCTTTCCCTTCACTGGCTTCAGATTAAAACAGAAGGAAATGAAGTGCTTAAAATAAGACACTGCTGAAGTATACTGAGGTCTGAACTGAAGCTGCTTTTGATTTTCTGATTTTCTGATACTTGCTCTGCTGTCAGTATCAATGAACAGCAAACTGAGTGGAGGCAATCACAGGCTATATGTGCCTGTTCCTAATCTTTTACTAGTGCAAACAACTGAGTGGAGGCAATCACAGGCAATATGTGCCTGTTCCTAATCTTTTACTAGCATCTTACTATGTACAGCTCTCTTTTACTTTAAGTCTATAATTTAAAATAAAAAGAAAGCCCAAGGAAAATGGCAATTGGCATCCTTCTAGTCAGGGGGCTGGGGACTATGGCCTGGCCTTTATATGGCCAGAGATACTGTGTGGGACTTGCTTAAGTCTGTAATTTAAAATAAAAAGAAAGCCCAAGAAAAATGGCAGTTGGCATCCTTCTAGTCAGGGGGGCTGGGGGCTATGGCCAGAGATACTGTGTGGGACTTGAGGCAAGAAGGCCCCGTGCTCCCCAGGACACGACTGTGTGCTTATGTAGGACTCACCTGTGTTCCCAGGCTGTGCCTTACACCCCTTGGATGGTCCTCTTTGACCAGCCTCTTCAGGAGGGACGAGGTGCTAGCAGGGACAAAACTAGTGGTTTTGTCAGTGCACAATCAGAAGATGTTGCCACTTGGGATTATAACCATGTGTCATTTGCTTCTATCTACAGGATGTGGAGTGAATTTCACTGGCCCCGCAGGCCGCATTGTGTCTCCCAACTACCCTAGTCAGTATGACGACAACCTGAACTGCACCTACGTCATCGATCAGGGACCAGAGGCACTGGTGATCCTAGAGTTTGACACTTTCGACTTGGAAGGTAACTGTTCTTTGTAGCTCCACTATATGCTATGAGGTACAGGAGTCTCATAGCATGGAAAGTGGGTGGTACTCTAATTATTTGCTGGTCCATTCTGACAGGCAAGCAGTTACAGCATTAATTAGCAGGAGTTCAGCTTTGTGTCAGTGACATGTTCCAGAAGAGCAGAAGATAAAGCTCATCTGTTGATGAATATCTCGCAGCGATTAAGTGGGGAGTCTGCCAGGTGGTTAGAGTATAAGATTGACCAAATGGAGTGTTTGTTCCTGCCTTTATTTACTTTTTTTTTTTTTTGTCACTGACTCACTTTGTTATCTCAGGGCAGCTGCTTTGTTTTTCAGTCTTTCTATTTCTTTAATAAAATTGGTGTAAATATACTTAGGTGTTACACAAGGATCCAAGAACATCTAAATAATATTTGTGGAACTGCTTTGTGAAATTAGGGGAAAGACTGCAGTAGTTAAAAAATCTACAAAAGTTGTTATGCTGTCCTTGCCTGTCAACAGAAAAGGCCCTCTTCAGATTTTCAAATTTGCTAGTATTCAGTGAGGGAAGAGCAGGTATCACATTCTAGTTTCATTGGTTTGAATGGTCAAAATTTGCTTTGGTATTTCACATATTTTGAGGTCATCTAAAGTCACCTTGTCCCCTTAGCAATTTGGACAAATTGAGAGCTGAGTAATTTGTTACTGAGGTTTGATCGCTTTTTCTTTTCTTTTTTTTTTTTTTTCCAAACCAATTCACAAAGTCAGTAGTCAGGCTTCTAGTCTTTTTAAGTTTTCAAAAGGATTTAACAGGATTTTTGGATTTTAAAAATATGTTGGTCTGAACTTAGTTTAGATCTGAGTCAAAGATTGATTTGATTGTGATTTAGTCTGAAATCTTTTGTTCACCCCCCTAGTACAAACTATTTTGAGAATAATATATATGCATATACGTAAACCACAGAAATTACATGATTTTTTCATGTAGAAGACACTATTATTCTGCAGGATCAGTAGATATATCAAAACATCAGCCTGAATCAAAGTGGGCCTATTTTGACATCTGTCTGCATCCATACGTTACTGTTCTGTGCTCTGTTTGTGCATTCAGTTACTTTATAAATGGATTCAAGTTTTTATTATTAAAAAGATTAGAGCAAAGAGGTAAGTGACACAGACATAACAAACATAAAATGCCTTCAGTATTTATGTAGATCTATTTCTTGCAGGACAATGTGATCCTTTTTTGTCACAATAAAGGCTACAGAAACCAAAGTCCTTATTCACATGAAAGAATAAAAATTAGGATGTGAGCTAAAGGACATCTGGTTATGAAAGAGGAAGTATGACAGTCTCCCATAGCTGATTATTAATGTATTCTTCACATAGTCTTAAAATATAACCCAGCAGCAAAGAGAAATTACCTGTGTTTAAATGAGAAAGAAGACTGAAACCATCGTCTTGCAAACTATCCTGCGGATGTGAAAATGTGTTCAGCAGCCCCACTGAATCTGATTAGCTCATGTGCCTGAGGGTTTTCAGCATGAAGTCCCACTGCTCTTTTGCAAAGGCAGGACAGTGTCTGGCAGCATCTGTTAGAGCCATTTCCAGCTATTCCAAGGCAAGGAAGCAATCCATCTGCTTAGGTTGTTACTGAGTGTGGCCTTTTAAAATCTTAAACACACCGGTACAGATTTCTGGTTTGGGTATTTATAGTTTAGATGCATGTCCAGTTAGCATAATTTACTATCTGTTTGACCTCTCAAAAGAAATCCAATCATTTTTTTCATGGTTGTTAAGTAACAATATGAAGAATCTAAAATAATGCCTGTAAGGCATACATGTCTCATTGACTTTTAACTGCCTGAGATGTTTTCCAGAAAATTAGAAGAGAGAGGCAATTTGTTGCAGTGCAGTGACACACTGCTGCAAAATGAAATGACTTGATTGGTTAGTCACATATTTCTGCTATAGAGCAGAATGTTTTCAATTATGAGATGGCTGTTCTAGTTATAAAGGATGCCTCCAAATGATGCTGTTCACCCATAGCTATGAAATAATGCCAGGATCTGGAATCAAATAAATATGACATGCATGTAGTAAATATTAAATATGTATTAAGCATTAAATATAGCAAGTAACAATGCAGAGCAAGAGAGAGATGGAGGGAACAGCATTTGTTGATTTTATGATTGATTAAAATTTAATCCAAATCAGCTGCTTCCTGGTAGGTAGGAATGACATTTTTGGCTGGCTTTGACCATCTGAAAATAGACATCTAGTTTAAGTTTATCATCCAGACTTACTGTCTCCTATACTAATGTGAAAAAGTTTTTTTTTTCAAGTTTTGTGAGATTGTATACATTGCAGTTTGCTTCTGTAACTCCTATGTTGTGATTGGTTATTTTATAAAGGACTGAAAAATGGGGTGAATTTTACTTAGTCTTTTTGTGGCAGTGATAAACATAGTCCTGCATCTGTCTTTCTTTACTCCTGGGATCAAAGGTCTAGGCAAAGCTGAAGTATTAGAAATAATAGCCCAAAAACTTGTACTAGTAGGTAAGTACATTTGGTTTTTGTTCACAATCTTTATTCAGATGAGCTTCTTTACAAGTGAGCCTGGAGGACAGCTATGGTTGCGTATCATTACATGACTGTAATACTCTCCAAATATCATCCAATATATTTTGATTTCCAAATCAAGGAAAATAAAGGGAAAAGGGTGGGGGCCTCCTGCAATATGTACATTCATATTTTTGTAGTATTTGTACTCCTTCCATACAAAACAACAACATTGTATTGATACCATGTCAACCTTATTTTAATAATTTGTTTGTCTTCTTTAAAAAAAAAAGAAAGAAAGAAATGCAACTGTAATTTTGCAATATGGATGGTATCACAGCCTCATTTTGAGTCTCCTGTATCTGCTTTCTGAGTGGTTTCCAGGCAGTTCAGAAAATAGACACATTTTGCAATAGACTATTTTGAAAGAGGATAAGTAGAAAACACTTGTAATTCCTGACTTTCAAAATAGAACCCTCTGCTATGGAATTTGTTAATATATAGTACAGGAGAATATTCCTGCATAACACTTCTCCTACATTAGTAATTATTATTTGTATTGCCATGAAGGACAGAAGCAACAGCTATGAAGAAAACCTCATTCTTTTATGTTCTTTGAACAAGAAACTAAAAGGCAGATTCTGCCCCTTAAAAAATGAAGGACAATCTATGGCGATAGGCAAAAAGTGGGAAGAGTACACTGTTGTTATTGACCAGACAATTAGGGAGCTAAATATGGTCAAGGATTCTTGCAGGCAGCACATCAAGGAAATAGTTTTATGGAGAATAATGAAATTGTTTTTCAATTGTTACTGAGAAATTCCTGCTTAATGGAAAGGAGAGAATAAAAGGGCATATCTCAAAAACATAAGGACAACTGAAGCTCTTATTATGTGCCCTTTGGAGGCAGGAGTCAATGTATCAATGCTGAGAGGCACTGAGAGATGATAAATAGAGTGCAGCTAGATAAAAGAAGGCCTTGAAAGCAAAGACAGGCAGCAATTCCAAGAAGGGTGACACATTCAGATTGCCAGGCCATGAAAATGGTCTCTGCAACGGCATTAAATATTGTCAAGGCATGAGGAACAAATGGTACAAAATCTCTGTTGGAAAATTAGTATTTCTTGGGTTAGTCTATGTGGAAGAATAGGAGAGACTGCATCTTAAAGATAATAATTAGAAACAGCCCACACTATTGACATCTAGGCTGGATGTGAAGTACTAAATCATAGACATGGACCTAGTCCAGTGCAGGCAAAATCATGAGCTTGTCAAGCAAGGACATGCAAGGGAAGGCTTGGGGATGGGGAGGACAGAAGCCCACCTATTGAATGGTTTTGTTGGGAGATAGAAATAAATTTTAGTTTGAAGAAAAATAGGCCAGGGGAGGGAAATAGATCCATTGGCCATCAGCAGAGAAATGGCAGCTGAATCTGTGTTTGCAAATGAGGTTATACACAGCAAATGGGGAGACAAAAAGAGGACAGGAAAGGAGACGCCTCATTGAATCTTCACAGACGTATTGAAGGAGAGAATACGTTAATACCAGAAGGGAGCTCTCAGCAGACAAGATCTTAGAAAGAAGAGGCTGACTATGTGGAAAGTGCCTGGCTGCTCGGAGAGGATGTGGGTCTGACATCTGGCTAAGAAAAGATCTCTGGAGACTCATGAAAGCTGTTTCATTGTAGTGCAAGGGGCAGGAATTGGGCTAGAAAAGACCTAAGAGAATTAGAGGAAATAACCACTGAGAAGAACTGCTGCTGATGTGCTGAGTATGTCCAGAGGCTGAAAGTATGACATGAGGAGTGGGGTGGAGGGATCTGAGGTTGGGCATTATTTAGGCGAGAGAGGCAGAATAATGAATTTCAATACGGCAAGAAATTAAGGGGAGAGAATTAAATGAGAAAATGAGTTAATAGGATAGAGATCAAACAGTGATCAGCCCTGCCAGACTTCATAGAGATTTGTAAGAGATATTGGTCCAAACTATGGAGCGCTCAAAGCTGGAGACGAAGCCTTTTCTCATAGTCCTGGAACAGTCATTTTATTCACCAAACTGCTGCAAAGCAAATCAGTTTGTCATGGGTGATGTGCACCTTTGCTGAGAAATCCATTTCACTTCAGGTATTTCTCCAAAATGTTTTCCAGATGAGATCCAAGTTGCCTTCTCAAACCTTCCTGTTTTTTAAACTGCACTTTTCTCCATTTCATTACTTAAGTTCTGTGCATTTTAAAACCGATCATGTTTTTTTACTTTTATCACATTAGCACACTATCAAGTATTCTCACAGTAGAGCAGGATATGTAGAATATTTTAAATTAGCTCTTTTATAATTAACAATTTAATTGGTTATCTGATGAAGCTGGTTGCATTCATCTTAGTAACTTATATCAGAGTCACACTAGTGCCCGATTCCCCTGTTTGCCTATTTGTAAAGCAATTAGGATATCTTGTCTTTATTGAGAGTGGAGAGAATTTTCGAATCGAAATTCCCCAGATGATCACAGATGTAGCTGCTGGTGGGCTCGCTCCGTCCTTCCTGTGAAACAGAATTCCTATTTGCCTTCCTGTTTGATATGAGTTATCCTGTTTTCCCCAGCGCCGGGAAGTTTTGACTGGCCAGTCTGCAGGAATCACTCCTCTGTGAAACTAGGCCAGCATCTCCTGTTAGACAATTCCTGAATAATCCTTTGCAGTTTAAGCAACTACTCCACTGTAATAGATCACTAACAAGACAACCTTGTGAACATGTGGCGCTTCCTTTAGGTTTGTAAGTGATGAAAAAGGACACGTAACCCTAGCAGGTGGCTCTATGAGCAGTACAACTAATGAAGCTTGTTTTTCTGTTGATGCGTGTGCTGCCTGTCTTGCTGACAGCACCGGCCCAGCCTCCGTGCACATCCCCTGTGCCCTGCTAATGCCCAAGCTCCCGCCGTGTCCCTCAGACCACTGGGGTCCTGCCAGTGCCACCATGGAGCTGGCCCCTCAGCCTTGGGCTCGGCAGCTCCATGGGCTGGCTACCCCCAGCAAATGTGGAGTCCTGGAGCTGAAAGTGCTATGTGGCCTTCAAGGAGGACATCCCTGTGAGGGACCAGCTCGGCCGCAGACTCTTGGGAAACTTGCAGCCTGTGCCCTATCCTCGCAAGCTGGTCTGGATGAAGATGGTAGGGAGGCTAGAAAGGTAGTGTGGTAAGGCAGGGGGCAGAGAGGAGGGCTCGCTCCTCCGAAAAGCTAACTGCGAATGAGAAACCAAAAAACAGTGGAGAAAAGCAGTAGGATGCTACATTCCCTAAAAAGCTAACTGTGAATGAGAAACTAAAAAACAGTGGAGAAAAGAAAAGCAGTAGGATGCTACATTCCCTGTTTCCCTTTTTTTTAGTGCTTCTGAAAAGGCAGTTTTTCACTCACACTTCTATCTGTACTGATTTGTTCCCTAAAGCTGATTATCCCTGAAGATCCGTTTCTTTTCCCATAGTTCGGTCATCTCCAGGAGATCTCCACTAACTGCCACAGTGGCACTGTCTACCTGACAAACTGAGATTACATACACAATTTTTGTCTTGTAATTCAAGCTGAGGAATCTGGGTTTGGTTACTCGAAGGCTTGAGGGAAGCTTTGAAAGTTTGAGAGGAGAGAGAAAGAAGAGAGTTTTAAAGCATGTTAGTATATGGACTTTTTTTTTTCACTTTTTCACTCTAAAATTGTGTGAAATCCGTCACACTGAGTACTGACTTCTACACCACAGGAAAGGAAAGCACCCATGACATTGGTTGCCTGTACAATAAATGCAGCTGCCTTGTCCTACAGGGGAAAATACATACTTTTGGGAGGTTGCGCATCTCCTCGCAGGTGATTCTTACTCAGCTATAATCTTTGGAGAGGTCAGTGTAAACTTGAAGCTCAATAAATCACATTGAAAATATGCCACTAACATTTCTGCATTGCGTGTCCACACAGCCCCGTCGCTCTTAAGCAGAGTTTGTCTTTATGATGGATTAAGGATTTTCCGTGGGACGAGCGTTACCGCGCACCCTCTCGTCACCCTGTGCGGCACTGAGCTCCCGGCCCCGGTCAGTGTCTTTGGGCCGATGCTGCTCTACTTCTACAGTGACTCCCACCTCACAGGCTTTGGATTCCAGGCCAGATACAGAGCAGTTGGTGAGTACCAGCTCCAGTGCTTTGGGTGGTGGAAAACACTCAGGCTGGATTTTAGTGTAGAATTGGAAACATTTCCATGACTATACAGAAGTAGAGGAATGCAACACCTCCTGGCAGTGTTTTTCTTTTTAATCTCTTTTTTGGAGTGACATCTCCAGTTTGTTTAACTGAGTTCATTTAAATGATTTTTTTCATATACAGGAGGCTGGCCTAGATCTCTGTTTTACTAAAGCTACATTGCATAACACTGGAACAAGAAATACACGTTTAAATGGCCTCAGCTATATACCTCCATCTGAGGATCTCTTTGCAGTGCCAAATATTAATGCACCAGGTTCTAAGATAAATAAGGATTGAAATCTAGATATATTTTTAGTGTTAAAAGAAATTTTTCACCAAAACATTTTTCATTCACATGCGATTTCATTGTTTTTTTGTTTTGTTTTGTTTTGGAAGAGGAAATATGTATTAGATTTCAAAGATGAAATGATAATATTGTCTGTGTTTCATTTGTAGGGTCAGTATTTTGATTTTTGAATACCATTTCATTTTCTACCTCTGAACTTTATGCTTTCCTTTAACACATTCCTCATGCTTACAGCCACAGCAAAAAAAAAAAAAAAAAGCAAAAGGTTAAATACTTTGTGTAAAATGAATGGCCTGATGCAGATAAGGCAGAGAATGGCACTGAAAGATGACACTGAGCAACTACTCATGTGGAAGACCTTCATAACTCACTCAAGTTGTTTGCTGCTATCAGGCTTGTGACTTCTGACATTTGGGAAGTATGACTGCAGCCCTAGGAGTTGGGGGCTGCATACAAAGCAGATTCTAGCAATTTACATTCCTCTTCCCTCCAGTTGTATTGTTTGCTTGGGGGAAAAAAAAAAGAAGAGCCTTCCCCCTCCTAGCGTAGAATAATGCTGCTTCTTTATCCTCCCGGCTGCGGTCCTGCTGCTGCCAGGGACGCGGGCTCCCGACGGAGCCGTGGCCGAGGAGCTGGGGCTCTGCGCCCCGCGCGGGGCGGCCTTTGCGAGCCTGGTGGCCTGGGCAAGGGCATCGCCTTTAAACATGAGAGGCTCTGTGTGGCTTTCAGCTGTTTATCAACAGGACGCAGGGAAACATTGTTTTGCCAAGTTAAGACCATAAAATAAAGACTCGAGTTAACAATGGAGATTAGAGCTGGTTTTATAATCGTTTTTTGTTCCCTCCAGCACTGGAGCTGGGAACAAAAACATTAGCCCACATCCTGGCCCCATGAGCAACCGCGGGGTGCAACCCTGAGGAGCCAAGCTTAAACTTGGCTTCACTTAAACTCAGAGCCTGACCTGCTCCTGCACCGTTCCAGTGACAAACCTTCATGCACATCGTCGAGCAAGGAGTTGAATGAGGGAATTTCTTTGCCCACTCATCAGCCAGATTTCTGCCTTTGGGGATTGTGGATATCCCTGGATACCCCTGACTCACTCTGTGGCGTGAGGCACCCCTAACCCTCCTGCTCCCCAAAGCTCTGATTGCAGCTGGTGACGAATCAGGCTCTTTTGCTGCACAAACACACTCAGTGCTGTTTGATATGGACCAGACAACTTGTAGTTTACGTACTCACACCCAGTCTTCCCTTGCACAGTCCAGCTTCATAGAGACCTCTGCAATTAACTTTTCTAGGCATGGTTGTGGAGACTGCTCCTAATTTATCAAGGGTTTTCCTTTGCTCATGGTTAAAAGAGGGTTAACAGAGTCTTCTGCAAGAAATAATAGAGTCAGGGCAAAGCTGGCATTCAGACACTAATGGTTCTCCCTTCTTCCCTTGCAGCGTGTGGTGGCATTTTCAATGGCTCTGTTGGCATTATCAGCAGTCCGGGTCATTCAGTTGTAGATTATCACAACAACATGAACTGCTCGTACCACCTCTCCGTCGGAAATGGCAAAGTCATCGCGCTCAAGTATGTAATCTAAATTCAACTTGTCGCCAAGGGGACAGGGAAGACTCTGATTCCAATTAAAAATAATAATTAATAGTTTTCTCTCTGTCTTTCCTTTTCCAAGGGGAAAGCTGAATTAAAAAGAGAAATTGCCACTGAAGGCTTTCATATCAACCTGAGGCTTCTTTATGTCTTACTCTCAGTTACTTGTTATTTGCAGAACATCACCATAATCATAGCTTCCCACTTTAATTAGAAGGAGGACTAAGAAATTGTAAAAATACAGCTCATGCTCCTAGTAAAATTCTGTCAACCTTTGTAGGGTTATGAGGCTTTTGTGAATTAATATAAGAAAAACTGGAATTCTGTTAGAAAGCTAGTACTTGCTTTGCAGCCCTAGTAATAATATCTACCCAGAAGATATGTATGCTCCTGAGTGTGTGCAGAGATCTGGCTGCCACAGAATGTTGCCACTGAGAAATTAAATATATATATATATATTCTTCTGCCAGATATATGCTGATTGTGAACAAAGGGGACATTCCTCAGCTAAATGTAAGACGCAGTTGGTCTGCAGTCTGAGCCTGAATTTTGTATGCCTCTCACGTGCCCAAGGAAATCGCAGTGTTAGCAGTTTGCAGAAGTGAGGGAGGGTATGTTTGCACAGGGGAGGTCTCTCTCTTCCCAGCAAGCTGACGTGGGCTGACAGCTTGTCTTGTGAGAGGCCAGTTTCTTCGAGATTGGTTGGTTGTGTTGTTCTGCCATGCAGTCTGTAGCTTTGCTTGCTTGTCTGCCTGAACAGGAATGTGATATCTATGTACAGCTTTGGCCATCGCTATTACTTATACCTTTATTCAAGCATTAAAAACATATATAATTTTACATACATTAAAATGGAAATGTTGTACTCTAATGCTCTAAGTGTATTCTGCAGATTCAACAGCTTCCAGCTTGAATTGTCTCCCTCGTGCTACAAGGATTATGTGGCTGTATATGATGGCTCAGACAACCATGCTGCACTCCTTGGCAAATTCTGTGGGTCAGAACTGCCCCCAAATATCAAGAGTTCCAGCAGTAACTTGTTCCTGGTGTTCAAGACTGACTTCTCTGGAGCAGCCAGGGGATGGAAAGCATCTTTCAGGGAGACCTTAGGTAAGAATATTACGAGATTGGTAACCTCAAGCATCTGCTGAGAAGTAATTTTCTTTGATGAGTAGCTGCAACAGCCTTGCTCACCAGATGGGCTGGAAGCAAAAGGTTTCTTAGTTTCTTGAACTGACTAGGCAAAAGACTGGGATTATGGGATCTCTGCATTCCAGCCCTGGCTCTTTTATTTTCTGCTTGAGCTTTTCCTGTGTCTCTGAAGGCACAGAGGTTTCTTCAGTGACTGAGGGCTTAGCAGTACCCAACTTTTGCAGGAAATCTGGCAAAACTTGTGAACTCTCGTATGTCTCTAGTGGCAGCTTGGTGATGCCCTGTAGATGCCTCCTTTCCATCCATCCTTCATTCCCACTTCCTTGCAGTCTGCTCACACCTTTTTAAAAACTAAACTGTTAAAATGAATTAAAACGGGGAGCACCACCAGGTACCACTGTCCTGATTTCTGCTCGTTTCTGGGATCACTCTGAATAGTTATCCCCCACATAAGTGGGATCACACCGAGAAGGCATTGGTCATAAAATCTGTTTTGATGAACACAAAAGTTCACCAAAACTTCGTTGTTGCCCTAAAAAGATTTAAACCAATATTCTATTTTGAAGTTCTGTGTGGAAAGGGACATTTTTTTTACCTTCTTATTAGATCTGAATTGTTATGGAACGATAAGAAGCAAATAGTCTTTACATGTACATTGATTCCGTGTCATCACTACAAGTTTCTTGTGTAATTAACTCAATGTTCTTGTGATCTAGAAAGAAGCAATTGTCCATTTCACAAAGCTGGCACTCAGATAGTTCAGCATGAAAGGCCTTTGTGGCAGGACCAACATAGTCTTCTGCTGAGTCACTGAATCCCCTTCCCACCCCTAGCCAGAGACTTCTTGTTTGATACAGTCTGAGAAAGTATTTACAGATAAGGAAAATAACTGGTTCTGCAGTCTTTGCCAAGAAAAATATTCCCACACAACCTCATGGTCATTTCTGTTATTAACTCTTTTTTTGCTTCTTTCTAAGCAATTGCTGCAAAAATCTTTAAGTTCATTCTTGTGGACTTTTCTTCCAAGCAATGTAGTGTTGTTTCATCTGTCACTGTTTTTGAGCTGTTAGGTGTCAGTTGTCAGAGATCCCCCACAGCCATGGGTCCATGTTTGCAGGGTGAGATCATCAAGAACTCCTCAAGCTCTTGCTCTTCCTGTTGGCCTAGAGTCAACTTTTTTAGCCACTGACTTCATTTTCACTTACACAGCTTGCCAGAGAGCCTGCTTAAACACACAGCAGAAAACAAGCCAAGCTTTCCGAGTCAGTACGAAGTCTGATTATTTCCCAGAGTGAGGATAAGCCTTTTATGAGTAAACTTTATTATCTTTTAGGCTCATTTTTGGAGGGACATCTTTACAGATGCTTAAGGTTGTTATAATGCAGCCCTTATTCAGGGGCAGCAGAGTTGCAGGCTGGAAAAGATGGCCCTGCTTGAGGTGTGGGGTGTGACGAAGAGTCCCTGGTGGTGAGACGCTTAATGGTAGGTCCTCTTTCTCCTCTGTGGAAGCAAGCCACAGGGAGTAAACCACACAGCCTTCAGGCATCCCAACAGCTTCATGATACTGCAGAATGGCCAAGAAATATAAAAGTGTATTATAAAAGGAAAAAATATGAGTCACAGTCCTGCAGTTTGACTTCTCTGAGCAATAGAGCCAGGAAAAAAAAGTGATAAATCTTTGTAAAATGAGGTCTGAGATTCTTCTTCAAAGTGAAAGAGAACTAAACCACAAAGATCGAATAGCTTGCTGTTCTAAATGATGCTTTACAGTATCTCTGTGTGTCTGTCAAAAGATAAACCCCATGTGGTTTTGTAAGAATATAAGTACAATCAGATGACAATAATGATAAATCTCTTGGATAAGGAATATGGATCTGCAAAGCAACAGCAAGCCTCCTTCTCCGATGGATGACAAAGAGTCCATTATTCTGTAGCTACCCCAGGGAAGCACCACTGGATAACGTAATTATTGCACTCTGTTTAATGTTGTGAGTGACCCTGATTGTATATTGGAAAGAAACAAGCAGAAACAGTATACCCTTTTGTAGGAAACTAAACTAAACAATTTCCTTTCTTTACAAGCTCTTCCAATTTTTTTCCTGATAAGGCTTCTCTCAGAAATACTGCCAAAAGCTGGGCTTATCTGTTGTTCATCTCTTGTTAATATTATTAATAGGGAGGGGAATCAATCTGATAACCAGTGTGGTGAGAGAGAAAAGACTTGATGAAGTAGGAAGCCCACGGAAGCCTTGCGAGATCTACAGTCTGAGAGCCAAACCCTGCAATTCCTGTAGAGAAACACGCCTGTTTTAACTAAAACAAATCAGCAGGGCTCACCCTGCACCCACTAGAACACTGAATTTCCCCCCACTATGCAGAAAAGGCAAACTATCAGAAAGCACAACATAACATTAATTTGACAGTATAGCAATATTTCCTTTTTTTATGAAATGTATTTCCTTAGAAATAGATCCTTATGATATAGAGCATTAGATGCAAGGGAATATATGACCCGTGTTGGTGTAGTTCTGAGGGCTTATAAATTGAGTGACCTCCTCTGCTCCTAACAGCAGTAACCCTGCTGCTAAGCTGCTAAGACACTTAGTGGCCTCATACTTGGAGTCGCTGGAGAGGCTCTCTTGTGAAGCTGGTGAACTGAGCTGACAGGGGATCCCAGCCTGCTGTAAGCATGAGATTTATGGAAAAAAAGACTCTTGCCTTAGTTACTGCTGACCTTTTTCCCGTCTCCATTCTCGTTCTGTAAAACAAGAGTTTTCCCTCCTTACCACAGTGAGCGTGTGCTCCTGTAGGCAATCAATAAAAGCAGGAGAGGAGATAAATCGATACAAGCTTAGGAGATTTCCTTACATCAGATGTCTCTGTGAAGGAAGGAGAGCTAAGGTCTCTTCCTGAAGAGTGAGGGCTGCAGGTCTCAGCTTGTGACTGGGCCAAAGCTCTCCTGCTCCTCCACTACAAGAGGAGACCTCAGATTTTCAGCTGATCCTGTCTGGCAGGAACACAACCTGCACTGGTCTCTGCTGTCCCTGCTGTGGTAACAGAGACTTTGTGCTTTAGTGATAAATGGCACTTTTGTCTGTTCCCACCTAGTAGCAGGGTGACCTTCTCGCCCCAATTGGTGATTCCTCTGAGGATCCTGATACCAAGGCTCTTTTTAGAGTCAGCAACCCCTGTTAAGAGATGTAGCTGTGACATTACTAAGAGCACATCATTTCTGCTTGACAGCTCTCTCTGCTGGTCTGCATAACCTCGTTGTCTGGGTTATGCGAAATATATCCCATTCTAAATGATCAGAAAAAGGATCTAAGGGACCCTGTGGTTTAGAAAACCACGTGAGTTTGCAAGAAGCAAAGTTGTTGTGCCGGGAAGCTCTTCCTGAGCTTTTCTCACACTATGCAGGCAAAGCTGGTACTTGCTTTTGGGTGTGTGAGGGAAGGTGGGATGGAGAAGGTCAGGTTTATTCCTGCTTCCTGTCTGCTTTATTTCTGCAGTCCTAAATCCTGCTCGACCTCAAGCTGGAGTCTGCTCTGTCCCCTCTCCTTTCTGGCACTGTCTCCTGGTGAGTGTGCAGACGCTCACACTGATACTTTGTGCAAGAGCAGTGCAGTGCTGTATTAATACCAACATCATCCCTTCCTTTGCACTGCTGTCGGGCCATGACTCCACGGTGCTAGGCGCAATACAGACACAGGGTGAAGCAACAATCTGCTGTCAAAAAAAGCCTATGATTTAAATGCAAGACAAGAGAAAACAGATGGATAGAGACAGGCAAGAAGAATAGGGTGGCAACAATGAGAAAAAAATCCTGTTGCAGGCTCTACGGCAGCAGAAATGCCTCCAAAACTTGGCAACAATTAGGCTGTTGGATTGCAAAGTCCTTAACCACCCCATCCTCTGAGAGAGCGGGGAGAGCCTGCTCTCAGTCACATTGTTCTTCTTTTGTCCATTTTTCCCCCAAGGATCCCTCAGTACTTTTTATTCAAATGAGCATTTCTGAATATTAACGATTTTGCCTAGGAAAAAATCGCAAGTGGATAAACTTTTGGAAGGAAAAAAGTTGGAAAAAATAAGTCTTCCTATGTGATATACTACAAATGCATTAAAAGCTAACTTACATAAATAATCCTGTATGCATATTATAGAAAAATATCATAATCTATATGCTTTCCTTCCTAACAAAATGATCTGTAGCTTACCTGATAAATTACCCAGAGGCATCTGTCTTCTTTCTTTTTCTATTAGATGTATATTAGATTACCCGTTTCCTGTTTGGAATACAATACAATGCACCAAGTGTCTGTTGCTAATAGGTTTACTGTTATGCAGTCCCTTGATTAAATTAAAATGTGCTCTTAAAATACTGACCCAGTAGAATTCTGACAGCACTTTTATGCTATTCTGTTTTGTCAAGACAAAATTCTGGCTAATGTAGTTCTAAATCCAGTTCTGTATTGTGAACCAAAAGCCTAGCTCACTGGATTGGATTTCAAGATGCAGATTTTTAGAAATGATTGTCAAACCCAGTTTTGACTGATTTTGTTTGGATTGTTTAGAATCTCTGAAACCTCAAGATCCAAATGGACATTTGAAGTTGTAAAATATCAGTTTGATCATTGTACTGTATAGGTAGGGGTAAGGTCCTCTTTTGTGGATCATTGCTAAATTCACACACTACCAGCAGTATTTCAATGTACTGATTAATGTAAAAAAAAATGTGATTTTAGTGGCTGCTGTCAGTGCCAGTGACCTTTTTGGGAAAGGACATGGAGGCTTGAGTGCAACTGACTCTCAAGTTTACCGAAAATTTTTCTTCCTCCAACAAAAAGTCATAGAAGCAGGTGTCCTTGACTAGGGCACGTGAACACTTCTGCTGAAGTGAGTGTGTCTTCTCATACCTTCACAAAAGCAGCAGTGCCTGGCAGAGATCTGACAGCCCATGA